TCGAATTACAAGCAATAAAAAAAAACATGACTATACAGGATTTTCAAATGCAATTTCAACAACGAATAAATGATATGGAAACATCTTTATTCGTTCTTCACAATTCCCTTCCACGCTGTTATAATGAAATCTTGCATTTAACTGACAGATTTTTGATTAACGCTGATTGGATAAGGTGTGATTATTTTAAACCGTTCATAGTAAGTCGATTATGATAATAGACGACGAATTATTTATGTTATAAATAAATAAATTAATATATATTATTAATTGATTTATTTGATGTTTATTAGCAAATGTTTCCTCAATGGTCAACGTTGGGAAAAGGGTTTGAAAATATAGTACAATATGTTGAAATTGTTGAAGACATGAAAATAACAGTCGAATCAGAATTTCCTCAATTAAGTGAAGACATATCGTCAAATTTGAATCAAATCCAAGAAGTCTTGGAATTTAAAAGATCTTTATATGGAGATGTTATAAAACAATCAGGATTGAGTTGGAAGGCATTAGGATTTCCAATTGATGAGAATTGGTCTAATTCAACTAAACAATGGTTGTTAGGATTAGCTTTCCACTGTTCAGAAATAATGAATAATGAATTGAACAAAGAACAACTACATCAATTGTTAATTAGTAATGATACACAAGTTACAAAGGTACTATATACTTTATTTATTTATGATTATAATTATTATGTTTTAATTATTTATCTTTAATCTATTTTGGTTGATGATGATTATTATTATTCATAGAAACTTGATTCTAATACTTATATTTCAAAAAAGATTAATTATTAATCATAAAAGATTTCATTTCATATCATTTCCCTTCAAGGGATTTCTTTTTTTGTTGGGTATTAGTATATCTTCATTCTGCTCTTTTCTTAACTTTTAATTCTAAGGAACTAACAATGAACATTATAAAATTGTTAATCACATTACATTTGTAATACAAATGGTCACTTTGTCTGGTTTTGTTGCAGCATGCCCCCATATGACCAATTTGTAATACCCTCTAGAATGGATTTGGTGTTTCACTAGGGTTAAGGTTTGCAATAAATGTTCCTTGAAGTCCTTTTGCTGCATTTACTATATATCTTCCTCACTCTGGATATCATATCCGATGCATACATATCATTTTATTGCATGCTTCAACTAAAATTATCAAATTCAATATATAGGTAAAAAAATTTTTTTAATAAAATAAACATATTCGTGCATGATGGGAAATCAACAGTAGTATTTGCTTCACCAAGTTCCATGATATTATTTCTATATTATACCATTTACTCCCATTGACTAATCATCATCTATTTATTATGATAATATGCACCATTATCAGACCATAAAAAGGATGATGTTGTGAACCAAGCATCTTGTATTGGATCAGATGACCAATTATCCAAAACTTCAAGATTCAATGAAGTAGAATCATCAGAATTTCTTGTATATACTAGTAAGGTATGCAAAGTATATCCTTTTTTTTCAAAAAAATTCTGATTTCATCTCTTGTGCTGATTGAGATAAAATCTTCATTTTGTAGTCAACTATGATAACAACATATCCTTATCTAAACAAAGTAATGCAGCTTTAGATTGTGCATTGAGATATGTTTTCCTGGCTTAGTGATCCCAGTGTTCAATTATTTGGCTTTTTTCATTTGGAGTAAATTGCAGAAAATAAGATCCATTTGACTAAAATTTTTCACAACTAATAGGATGATGTTCATTGCAATCACCAAATGCAAAATTAAACAATGTCCAATACAGTTATCATGATGCACACTACCAAGAACATACATAATCAATTCATTTCCATATTCTCAATTCAAATGATGTTGTGCTTTTTCAAGTTGAGCAATTCATTCTAATAATGAATAATCAAATTCAAAAATATTTTTTAGAAATTATTTGAACATCAATTCACTAACCTGGATATCTTTTCTATTAATTTTTTCCTGAACAGGTGATTTCATCTCTTCAAAAACACCAAAAACATATTCATTGCATGTCAAACACAAGCTACCAAGATATTCACAATATACAAATCTGCTATCTTCTAATCTTCAGTTAGTAGATATTCTATACAACTTTCAATTCTGTACATTAATTCTTTTTTGTTCCATACATTCTCTATTTTTTAATTTTTGTATGGAATTTGTGTATTCTGAAAAGTTGATTGGTGGTAGGGGCAGTCTGCACACTCCTCAATTTCATACACTATCCTTTTTTGTTCTGTACAGAACATGATTTACTACAGAGGCACAGATGTGCAGAATATGGAACCTGTATATACTCTCTAATCTTGTCATAAAAGCTATCCTTTTCATACCATCTGGGTATAATTCAAAAACATGTTTTATAAAAATTCGGCCTTTTTTGCAGTT